GACTTCCCCTCTCCCTTCCTCTTTTCCCTTCCCTCTTTCCCCTGCTGCAGTATATAGCCTAAAGTCTCTAGCACTAAAACATTATAGACTCATAGCTTTTGTGCAACAGAAGTGCTTCACTAATGTAAAACTAATGATATCGTTAGTTTTTTACTCTTTAATTTTTCGATATAAGCCAAAGCGAAAATGTTGTACCTGAGCAGTTTCAGTTACATGTATCGACGAAAACGTGCTGCAATGCTACATGCTGGATAAAAGTGGAAAGCTGAACTGCGAGGACGACCATTACATGAAATTCTGTTGTGGCACTTGCAGATCATTGAGCCAGCAAGGGAACGGTAAACCACCCTCCAGTGAGATAACAACAACAAAGCCACTCGCCTTTAAGTCTCTTCCACCAGGATATACATCGACACCTTCACATCATCGTTGTACTGATAAGGAAGGTCAAGAGAAGTGTGAAGAACTTGCCAGATATAACAAACTCAACTGCGATGAACTCGACGATGTTGCCCGTTGTTGTGCCACGTGCAATGCTATTATCGATTATCTTGAGACTATGATATCTCACAAAGCTTGAAGTAAATAAAGAGTTGTGTAGTTTTTATTTGTTGGCGATTTAGTAAGGAAATCACAATCATTACTCGATTGGAAATGCTATACGAAGAATGTGAAAGTGTGACGTATGAAAATGAGTCATTAATAAAACTGCGACTCGAAAAGAAAATCGAAACCACATATTAAATGAAGCAGCTTTTTTGTTATTTTAAACTTAAGGATGCCTAATCTGACACAGTTTCTGAAGGCAAAATGTTATACAAGAAGCAGCAGCTTATCGACCTCGGAACTATAAACGCTGCATACTGACTGGCCACGGTTGTTTGCTGAAAGGATAAATCCAAAAATGGCTTAAAAAGAGTAACGTATCGAGCTTTGAACATTGGTTTAAGATTTACTCCCCTTATCTGCGGAGTATTTTTTTAATATTGAACATGGTCTTATAGCTTTGTCAAGCTTAGCTGTGCAAAATTTCAATTACAATGACTTTCCAAATTCTGCTCGGGAATGAATTCTCGTATTGCTTTTGGCTAAGGCTGGCTGCTGCAAGAGTGCAATTATTATAAATCGGTATAGCTACTGTTAACAAAGAAAAGTTTCTACACCTTCTTCTAAGAAATCGTCCCTTAGATAACAAACCGATTTGAAGTTTAGCACCACTACTGGCAATGGCCTAAAAATGTTCTTTGAATGTTGAAATCATGTTTCATTGGTTCTGCCTGTGCTGAGCTCAGAGAAAATAACCAAGTGATACAGTAAGTCTTCACAAAAAAAAGAACTGGAAAGCGCTTAATGGCTGCGCTAACTCCACCCACAACTTCCAACGTAAATTTACCGCAGTGCCGTATGAAAGTACGGTTCATATGTGGAAATTTAAGTTCAAGCTAGGCATTTGAAACAAACTGTTAAGGTCTAATAAAGTTTGAAATTGTAGGAATTATTGCTAATAAATTAGAGCATAATTCTGGAAACTTTGTACAATGGATTTCCAGCATCTATACGTGTGCTATAAAAAGTAAGTGGTCTTCATATAATCTTAGGCATCTACGCTGGAAATGCCAAGGACGGAAAGGTGGACTCACGATGTGATATTTTTACTAACTGATGTTAACAAATATTCAGCATTGCACGTTATCTGATCGACAAATGGCTAGATAACAAGAGCCAAAAACTGATCCGAACATTTTGCATCCACTTTCCTCATTGTTCATCTCGAACGCAAAACTACATGGCATAATGAGTGGAAAATACCAATCAGTAAACAAGGTAGGATTTTTGACTTTGCAGATACCGCACATCGCTCTGCCTGTGATACAACAACTTTTGTGAGCATGCCGCAAGATATTAAATTACATAGAGTTCTGACCAATTTCCATTTCACGTTTGCCGTATATTCATGACATTAAAAATCCTATAGACATTTGATTCACTCTGTAAAATTTTTGCATTCGTTGTATGACTAAGTATCTGCTGCGAAGCCTTTTTAGTTATTAAAATTCTGAAAGAATTTTTATGCTTTATTACTCATTTTTGATATTACTCATAATGTGGAAAATTTTGTGCATATAAACACCCTCCGATCTGCCAAATACATTGCCACCTCCCTTTTTTGTTTCTCCTGATTTA